ATGACTTGTTCAAATCATTATTACCAAGCTATCATATCCCTGAGTCGTTGTCTAACCTCTTCCAACCCTTGGCCTGATATAGAAGACAATGGTATGACTTGTTCAAATTTAATACTGTCAGTAGTCAAATCCCTGGGCTTTTGCTTCTTAGCTATTTCCTGTAAGTGGACATCGGGTGGAATTTCCTGTAAAACATTGAATAAACCTGTGGAAGACAAGGACAGTGCTTTAGTGAAAAGACTTGTTTGAAGCATGGCACATGGAGTATTAGTTTTCATACAGTACCCAACCCTTACCCTTCCCATTCTAAGTCCCCCAGTACCCCTCCTACAGAAATCTTAAGGAAAAAATCTGGAAGAAAAGTAATACCTCACAAAGCTAATATATTGGGAGATGAAGAGAAACGCACTTCAAAATCTCGAGTGCAAGGAGAGAGAAGGGGAAAGAGAGAAAAAAAATGCAACCCTATTCACGCGAGCTGAAGTTGAAGAAAAGAAAAAATGTTGGTGGCGTACAAGCTCTATCGTGTTCATATTGCTATGTTAATACGGGGGGGGGGACGGGGGGATCGCTGTACATGATGATCATGCTCGTAAATTTCAATCAGAGTATAGAGCCCTTGCAGCACTTTGGAATGCAGCTCAATCTGGACAAAACAATAGGTTTCAATTCTCAGGAGATTGGAATTCTTTTGTTTTGTCCCCAAGAACGAGCTTTTTTGACGTCACATGCAAGGGATCTATACAGAGAGAGTAACAGCTATTCACGTGATACCATTAGATTACACTAAAGAACCTACCTCGTTCATTGAGCGACTTTAGCTCGTCCATAAACTCATTATACTTTATATCAGCATCATCTGTATCCATCTTACTCAGTAACAGTATCTTAGGTCTGTATGCAAGACTGTTATCATACGAATATAGTTCCTTTACAGAGAGAAAAAGAATATTCAAGCATGATTTGTCTCGTCATATGTGACGTCTAATGTAAACGCTAAAAGGGGTAGTGATTTTGCAAGCAAGACAAATTTTGGGCCAACGTTATTGTATTTTCGTTCTGATGGGAACAAAAAAGTGCTGCCTTATGATCAAGACATTTTGCTATTCTCAAAAGGGGAATCATCTTATGTTGGTTATTTTCTTTGATAGGCTACCTGTGCCCTCCCCCTTTCATAGAAACCCAAGTTATAGTAATAAGATTATAGTTTGTGAATCAACCTGACAGATCAGGATACGATATGCAAGGCATTTTCTTACTTTTACTAGAAGGCACAAGGATTGGAATGCTGTTCTTTGTGGGTGTTTCTCAGACAACTGGAAGCCGTTAATATCAACCTAAAGACGCAGAACAAACAAACAAATCATGAACTTTAGTCGTTTAAGTCTTCAGTAGCCTGCGTACAGCCAGACTTTTCTCTAACAGTCAGTTAGAGATCGGCTGCACGCAGGCTAGTGTTCAGAGACCATATATCAGACTGAGTAGCTGTTATGTTAAAGAGCAATGTTCCTTGCAATGTAACTGGTTTGTACCTCGTAACTTGCCTCGCAATGTCAATCTATACAGCATTTCCGCAATCGCTGTGAAAGGATGTTRGAAAATTTCGCAGGGAATGCGAGAGACATGCAGCTAGACGCGATACAGATGGGCAGATATAGATTTAATACAGATGGGCAAATTTAAGAGAATATATTTTACATTTCATAGGTTTAGCAAGCCAAATCCGTTGTTTGGTTGGAATTCTGGCCTGTTTCCCCTAAAGGACAGGAATATATATATATATACTTACCACTAGAGCCAACACTTTCGTTCTTTCAACGTGTTTCAGAAATTTATGTCCCATTCCTCGGTTGTAGTGCGCTCCTTCCACTAGCCCTGGTAGATCAGCTATGCTCACCTAAAAGGCAAGAGACAGTGATGGCTTACCAAAATGTTCCTGGGAAAAAGTTGGATTTGGTAAAATAGAGCGAACTATAATATCAGATGTTTTGTACAATCCCGAGCCGGCAGCCATCTTGGATGACAAAATAACTATTTTCACCCCTCTCTCCATGCACAAACTCATTAAATAGAAGGAAAAGCTGAAAGCCATCAGCTTTAAGGTATCATTGCCTTTACTATACGAAGAAATCTAACCAACACACGAAAAGAGCCACAAAAATAGTAAAGTTGCTACTGTCATCCAAAACAGCTGTCATAAAGAAATCGTACTAAACCTATTTTCCAACTACTATGATAGAAAAAAACAAGGACATCTAAGTGCTCTTTCTGGATTGTTGTCGCTTGATTATCCCCCAGGATAAGATAAATTTGGGTGAACGATTTTACCGCCAAGCGTACCTTTTTTACGTGGTAATTATCATTGACTATCCCAGAAAAGCTAAGTCAAGTCTAGGTGTATTAATGTTAAGAGCGCAGGGCTTCCCCTATATCTATCATACAAGATATAGATAAATATCATATTAGCCAACATGGCTGCCGCGTGCGAAGCCTGCCCTATCTCAATCCCCTTTCTACCTTAGGACTACCATAGGATATTACCTGGAAAAGATCTGGAAACTCCAGCATTCCTATTGATGGACGAATTGTCGTAACTGTGGAATAATAAAATATACACAGAATTCGTATTAGTTTGCATACAGCGCAGATATAAGCAATCAGTTTATTATTGAGAAGCATTTCAGCTCACTCACAAGGGAAGTCCCCAGTTTTGACTGTTGCTCGACTCAGCTCACCAAGAAGAGTGGATTTGCCAGCATTTGGAAACCTGGAATGAAAAAGAACAGAACTTAGGTGACCACTAGTAAGCACTTGAAAACTTGAAGCAACTACTACATTCATTGTTTCCAGAAAAAAGTATACTTTGTTTGCGTTATGTACTGAGAAAAGAGCGCGTATAGTGCTCGTAAACATATATCTTAATTCCTTAAAGACCGCTTCGTGCTTAAAAAAACCTAAAAATTTAAATGGTCATATATATTCACGAGGAAGGTCGGTTGAAGTCGGTTTTAAATCAATGGAAGGCAGTGACTTTACACTCCCGATAGTTGTTTAAGATCAATGATGATGGTAGATCTGCGGGAACATTGGTGACCCTCAGCACAACAGACCTACTGTTACCCACCCAATCAGTCCAACATCAGCAATCAACTTGAGATCAAGGTTTATCATCAGTGGTGTTCCTTTCTCCCCGCACCAGCCTTCTCTCGATGGGTTTCCACCTTCTCCTCCTTGTGCGACTACGAGCCTGGATCCTACTGAATTCAACTGACCAACAACATGCCCATCGTCCGTTGATACAGTGATTCCAGGGGGGACTGGTACGACAAGATCCAGGCCTCGCCGTCCTTTTTTCTTTCTCTTTTCTTTCCTAAAGAAGTGAATGACAATATGGTATATAACCTAACCTTAACCCTAACCCAAAGGTATAAACGAGGTAGGCAAAACTCTGCTAAGACTGACACATCGCGCCACAATCTAACAACGGATCTYAGTCTGTTATATCGTTATTCATTGGAATCGAAGGAGGTGTAGTGGAAATGCACTCACTCTCACCTCTGGGATCTCTGATTCCATTCCTGGACTAGTATCACGTGTGAGTGGAGTTTGTTAAGGGTTTTTCTTCTGTTTTCCTCCCTCGCTCCTCAAAACCTAACATGCTACAGACATTCCCATTCGATCTGTGAGTTAACTGAGTTTCATCAAACCCAGAGGTTGTTTTAAGTAAAGATAAAATTAGCGTCCTTTTTTGGTGTATAATGAGAATTTTTGTTTGTCAGTACTCACGCAAAATGTTCACCATGACTTGCTATAAGCCGTCTGTTTTCTTTTAAGACAAAGTGCTGTAGACTTGCCCCCTCTTGGCACTGAAGAATCACGTGACCCCCATCCCCACCCAGTCCAGCATAAGTAGGAGATCCCTGGCCACCACTCCCACCTCGGACGTACAGGCGAGCACGGTCGTTTAGCCTGGTTCGCTCTGAAACCTGAAGATATAATTCCAAAATTGTAAACTATGTTACATGAAGCTAATTTTTCTCGGGGAAAAAATCCGAGCTCCAAAAAAAACCTATTACGTACAAAAATGGCTATATGCAACAGATCACTTCCGAATAATCACAAATACTAACAGTAAAGTAAAGAATGCACAGCTTCAGATATACAAACACTTTAAAATTTGACGGGCCTTCACTGGAACACATGAATATTCTTAATAAGAACAAGGCTATTCCTGAGCAACAGAGACCCGTTGAAACTGGAGTATAGTTCAGTGCGCGCAACCGGGCAAAAAATCTCAGTCTCTTGCAAGCGACTTTGCAAAAGTAGAATATAGATCTTTTTACCCGAATCCAACACTGCCTAAATATAATGGAAAAAACTATTTGAGAGGAAGGAAATATGTTGGAAATGTGTTGGATATATAGTTGGAAGTCAGTCCTCCAACCTTTTGGACAATTCCATTGTATGGAAATACGTTGGAAATATCATGGAAATACGTTCGAAGTTAGTTAGTGATGACGCGTGCATGTTGGAATYTAGTTGAAAATACATATATGTTATTTACCGGCCAGGAGGTCCGGATAGGCGGACCGATTATAGGACGGTAAATTTAACAAATTTACGATGGTTTAACGTGGTATGTCCTCTTATTTACCACGATATGACGTCAAAAGTTGGTCAAAATGTTATGGACTCACGAGGCGTAATCCGAGTGGGTCCATAACTAATTTTGACCAACGTTTGGCATCATATCGTGGTAAATAAGAGGACATACCACGCTAAACCATCGTAAATTTGTTTTTTACTACRAAACTCACAAAACTCTAGGAAATAGAMTGCACGAAATCTTGCATGACGCCATTTGTTGGTATGGCCTCTTATTTACGACGTTTTTTAACCAATCAGCGCGCGAGAAAATTTACAATTGTGGTAAAAAACTTATTAATTTTTTTCCCGTATTTTTTTAACTTGTTTTCGTAATCGTTTTGTATTGTCGTTTAGCGGCAAAGGATACCGGACCGCGCGCCACTTCCAGCATATTAGGGACTTTAAGATTCGCAAAATCTGCGACTGCGACGTCTACCGGAAGTGTAAATAACTTCACTTTGGTGGTTCGCTACTTCAAAGTCTGTCTTTCCCGTGGATGAGTTGACTTTACTGACAATGTTTAGAATGAAATCTCCAATGAACAGAACCCCAAAGAGAAATTATTTACACTTCCGGCTGACGTCGCTTCGTAGATTTTCTCTTAAAGTCCCTATTTCCATCATTAGGAGCGCGCACGATTTTTCCAGTGCTATATATATGTGTGACTTACCGATCGAGGAACGGGTACCGCTGGACGATATAAGGCGTATTGCGGGATCTTGGCTGGTATTGGTTTCTCCAAGTCTGATAAAGGTTCGCTTTTTGGTAGGGCAGGTACAGTCTATGAGGATAAAGGAAACAATATGAGAAACATGGATTTATAACACTGGGCAGATGGACAACAGCTATTGCGAGTTGGGTTCTTGTATGTTTTGATATCGCTATACTCCTCTCTGCAATCATCGTTTATCCATTTCAGACCACGTGTCACCTTGGGCCGTATAAAAGGTTTCTTTTGTTTGCTTACTTAATTTTGCATTTATTTTAGGCAGCCTTAGAAGTTGTCAATGATCATGAAATTCAGGTAAAGTGTGGTGCATTGGTCTGTTGTAGTTATAAAAAAAATCCAAGGAAATAAATCGACGAGTTTTGGCATGATCGTAGTTTTCGTGAAAGTGTCCGTAAAAAAGCGAAAAAAGTAAAACATTGCGTTTTTATCTTGAATCATATATTTTCACTATCACGATAATGAAGATAAAAAAGGACAATAAAAACAAAATTCAAATCAAAAATCAAAAAAAAAAAATCGAAATAAAAATGAAATGAAATAGAATAGAATAGAATAAAATAAAACAAAACAAAATAAAACACGATGCATGCAATATCTGAAACAAAAATGTGAGTAAACCTTTTATCTTACTTACAACAGACGAGGGATCCAGTTGTACGTTAGTGCTGTTTGAATGCTGGACGCTATAGAATGATGGCGGGTTGATTTTTATTACATCTACGTATTTTTGAATCTAAAACAAAAAAAATGGAACAAATTACTACCGGGGTAAATCAATATTCTCTGCATGGTCACCCTGTCTCAATACAAGCGCGCGCTCAGTTTACGTCAGAGGACGCATCTTTTATGACGCAACGACAGTCTTCTGTCAATTTTGTGATCGAAACTCGAAAGATAAACATTGCAATACGAAACAGAAGCTAAATTCTTCAAAAATCCAAACGAATCAAAATGGGAAATTGTGTTTCAGGGACAAAAACAGTGACAATTGAGGCTCCTCTACGAACAAGCAGTGCGCTGGAGGTTCCTGACAGAAAGGTGTGTCTGGTTGACAAGATGAACGAGAAGTGCGAAACAACAAGTATCAAGGACGATCCCGCCGCGCAAGACCTTGAACTGAGGAGCTTGTCCGAATCTGATGAATTTGAAAGCACAGAACTGAACCTGTCATTCAGTAAAGATGACAGTGAAGCAGAGACCAGTGCCGCGCAAATGAATCCCAGCAGCTGTGCGGCAGTTTATGCTGGCTCCAACAGCGACAATACCAGGCGAGACTTGACACTCAGAAGCTTCACAAACAGCCCTTCCAGCAAACCACCGAACTCTGTAGATACAGTCATGCCAAAGAGTGAATACTCAAACAACAGTGCTTCTAGAAGCAGTGAAATACATAGCTCATCCGGTGATCCAAGTCTAGAAAGATTACCCAAAGTTACAGAGTCTGGAAACTTGGACTTGGAGAGCTTCAAGGAAATCGTATTGAGCAAGATTCGCAGATTGAGCGCTGGAAAGAAAGACAAAGCGAAGCTCAACAACGCACTAAATCTGCTCCGACGCCTTGATAGCGCCGTTGTGGAAGCGATGAATAACGTGAAGAAAGCTCATGCAAGGAGATCTGCTAAGGTGGCTCCTCTCGTCTTGGCTCAGGACAATACGGAAGAGCAGAGAGCACTGCAAAGTAACAAGAGTGCAACAAGCTTTGGAGATGATATTAATAATGGTAATTAGTAATTATGACAGTGACTAGATCAAAAAACCAACTACCAAGTGCTTATGAAGTATGCCTATACTTCGCGCCAAGAACAAGAGAAAGAAAGAGACAAAAGAGAGAACCCTTCCTAGCGAAGGATTGAGGATCAATCAACCATCAAAGCACTTCTAAACTGAACAATATATATAACGATATATTTTGGAAGGAATGAGAAAATACAAATGAAAAATCAACAACGAAACTTCTTGTATATAGTGTAAATATTGTAATATTATTTAATGTTGTAATTGTAATTCAAAATTTGATGTCTTTTATATTAAAGGTAATTATTAGCAAAACAATTTGCTTCGTTATTTTCAGAGCAATGTAATTAAAGAATAGGAAAAGCGTTGAGTTTTATGCAAGTTATATTTTTTACAAGAAACAAAGAATGATAATAGAAGAAAAGAAACGAGAAAGATTGAGGGAAGAAAGGTAGGAAAAAATCTTTAATGACTAAACGGAGGAACAAAGGAAATAAAGAAGTGAGGAAAGGAGGGAAGAATAGAGGGAGGACGGAAGGAAGGAAGGAAGCAACAAATGAACGAAATAGCGAAGGGACGAAAAACGGATGCATGTTTTGATTACTAAGAGAAGAAATATCCGAACAGACGACTACCGAAATTATAAGGAATAAACGAACAAACAAACAAAATACATTAAGGAAAAAATTATAAACAAATAAAAATTTCATGGAAAATACTGCTTTAAAACTGTGCGTGCAAATGAAGGACAAAGGGACCTACCTTCTAAAGGAAAGGAAAGGAAAGGAAAGGAAAGGAAAGGAAANNNNATGAAAGGAAAGGAAAGGAAAGGAAAGGAAAGGAAAGGAAAGGAAGGGAAAGGAATAAAAAAAAGAATTTAAAAAATAGAATAAAATACACATTCTGGAACCGGGAAACATTCCACTCACGCAAGCAATGTCCAGCAATAGCAAAAATAATTACCTGCTTTATGAATTCCAAATCATTTTGGTTGTAGAGCATGACAGCCATTCCCTTGGAAGATTCGATATTTAGGTGTCTCAAGAACATGGATGTGACTGGTAGACTCTCCAGAGGTGGTTGAACTGTATGAAGGTCAAAAGAAATAGAATAATAATTTCTAATGCCCACTTTTTAAAATTATTATGAGACTTTAATAACTAGGCACAGTTCAGAATTCAGTGTGACCAATTCTACCGAAGCCATCCAAATTCAAGCTTTACACATTTATCACTTTTCTTCTTATATTGCGTGTGCAATAGTCCCCTTGCAGTCCACTGAAATGCAGCTCAATTTGGAGGATATAACAATGGGTTTTCAATTCTCAGGAGATTGAAATTCTTCTGTTTTGTCCTCCAAATTGAGCTGCTTTGACATCAGATGCAAGGGGCCTGTTGTTTTTTTCTCTTCTACTTGTAACCAGGAGTTGGTTCTGTCAAACAATTTTTCCTGCTATCAGGGTGGTTAACATGTAAAAAGGTTTATGAGGTGACCATGTTAGCACACATAGACGGTTGTAACTAAAAAGAAAATGCTGGCTTGTGATATTGCCTGCTTACCCATGATAACAAGGTCAGCTTGTGAATGTGATTCCCATATACTTGTGTCCTGGTAAGAAGCCTAGAATAACAAACCAGTTTTACCAGAATGAGGGGCTAGTGACAATACAGAGGAATTTGAGGAAGTAGTTCCCGCTACAATTTTCTTTTCTACGCTTTCCCACTTCTTTCTTTTCTTTCTATTAGGATCTTTAAGTGATATTCCTAATTGTCTTTAAAAAAGTTTATTTCAAATACATAAAGTTGATTCATTCACTCACTCACCACAACTATTCCATCTTCTGAAAGTCTTTCATTCACATAATCCTGAAAATGAAATACAAAACATGGAAGCTAATTCAAATCCCATTAAAAGACAACAGTAACAATTGACACAGAAACTCAAACAAACCTTATCTGCCTGTGAGGAAACTTCTGTGCAAGAAAAGCCATTTTCTTTGAGTTCCAGGCAAAGTTCCCTTGCTAAAACTAGTACACAAAAAAGAATATGAAAATAATGTAAAAAATACTTTATAATGAATATAGCAAAGATTTTTTTTTACCATGAAGATTTTTGAAATTTCTGTGGGATGAATGTAAGAAAAAACGAAATGAAGAAAAAATTGAAAGAACGAAAAAGAAAAGAAAACTAAATGCATAAAATAAATAAAAAAAGAACAAATGTGTCAAATGAAAATCAAAGCCATTATTAAATACAAATATGTAGCACCTTACCTTTTACTCTGACCAAAATAAGAACTTTTTCTGCTTGATATTTTTGAAGCAGCCAAATAACAAATTTTCCACCAAATGCAACATTAAATGGAAGTACCTGTCAATAGAACAATCAACATATGAGTTGTTTTTTCTCTGTCCCCCCTACCCCTCAGAAATTCCAAATTCCTCTGTGGGAGTTATGGATAATTTCTGGAACTACACAATGAAATTAAAGTTAAAAATATGAGAAAAATTCCTACCTATTGAATCAATCAATCAATCAATCAATCAATTCATTTTATTTATCCCAGATGACGGCTCAGCAAGCTGATTTTCAGACATCCCGTGGTTACAAAAGATACAATTATAATAGATACATATCATCATTTTACTTGCATATGAGTCGAGCTTTCTTAATTCCATGTTGGAATAACAGATCTGTCCTGTCAGAATAAAGTTATCCAAAATTTAAAATATTTTCCATACCTTTAAAGGCTTCTGCTCAAGTTCTTTTAACTCCTTATAGCTAAGATAAATAAATAAAAACCTTGGCATATAAAGACCATTTGCAATATGTTGTAAACGTAGCATATACTCTACTCAAAGAATGGAAACATCACCTTGGATATAATGAAGTCTTGCTGTTTATGTTTGAGAGAGTCTGTTTGGGCTTGGGTTTTTCAGCATTTACCACTGAAGGCACCTTTTCCTGACCTAGATGCAAAGTTAAAGCAATGCAGGAGATTTCACCAAAAATTCAAATGCACAGATGATCATAAAAACCTTTATCAAAAGTATGATTGGAATGTGGAAATAGCAAAAGTAGATGGCTCAGACATGGAAAGTATAGTACATACACCTGAGTTTGCCAGTTGTTGGCTTCTAATGAAATCCCTGAAAACATGTTTCATTTGTAAAAACTAGTGGGAGGAAAGAGTTGTATTGGAGATGTGGTATTGCATGTAATAAGGCCTCATTTCATTCTCTTAAGAATAAGATTTTTTGTTTGAGTTGTATTCATATCCATTTGTCTTCTTATGCGCAACCAATAACATTCTAGGGAATGGCATGATCTGAATGGGACTGGACTGGAAAACATTATACCCAAAGTAAAGAGGTCTATAGACCCCTTGCATGTGACTTCAAAGCAGCTCGATCTGGGTGACAAAACAAAAGAATTCCAATCTTCTGAGAATTGGAAACCTATTGTTTTGTCCCCCAGATTCAAAAATTCAAAGTGCTGCAAGGGGTCTATTCTCGAGGTACAACCACATGACTCAAAATCCCTCAAGACATAAATAACAATGAAACAGCCGCCATTTTGATTGACCTAACAAGAGAAGCTAATGAGGAATAATGGCTTTATCCTCAATCAACATGGCGGTTATGACGCAACATGCACCCTAAGAATTTAGATAAGAATTGTAAAACATGTGTAAGACACAAGGAAGCAAGGATGAGATGTTGGGTTAGGGATGAGAAAAAAAATTTTTTTGGACAAAACGTTTCTGTGTTGAACTACAAACCTGTACAAACAGTACAAGGGCCCACGTGCAAACATTTTAACTTTTACGTAGTTTAAAAACTACGTCAAAGTTTCACACAAAAAACAAATCGTACCTGAATTTACCAGTTCATCTCCAGAAACAGTAGTAATTCTACGAAAACGTTTTAAATTTCTTTGTATACGAGTCAAACTACTCGAACATCGTAAAAAGTTTCTTGTAAACTTGACAGACGAACCTGCCGCCATCTTGATTTGTTATCGTACTCATGCCACACTCGGTCCTGGAAGGCGCTGGTTAGTAACGCCTGTGATATTTGACCATTGATAACAGTCTTTCACGGTAACAGTAAAGAACGCCTGCTTGTAAAACGTTTTCATTGTTCAAAGCAAGACTGGGTGATAAAAACGATGCTTTTTTTGGTATGTAAATTATCGTTTGGTTCATCTCTATTCTCTTATTGATAATAAGAGAACAAATAGTTTATTTTACCTCAATTTGAATTATTTTCACACGTTTATAGTATGTTGTGTTGGCCTCCAGATTCTCATGACTCCAACGTCTCAATGTACATAATATTGCGAGTGTGAGTGTATTTATAAGCCTACATAAAAAATAATTCATATCTCCACGATTTTGAACTTGCTTCCCTCGAACTTCATAGTCTTACTAATTTTAGCATCCTCTTTCCAGAAATGTTAAATATTTTTCTGTCGTGTAAGTTTCGGAGACTTTTGGAATTGCGTGATGAAAGCTCATTAACTCGCTCGTATCGCCTCAAAAGTACTCGGATATTTCTGAATTTAGCACATATTATAGTAGCTCAAACGTTTACACTTTTACTGGTTTTTAAAATTTTATTTTTGAGTGGCGTTTGTCGTTACGGGCCGATTTTCTAACAGAGGGGTTTCAAATCGATCGATTTCGTGTGCACGTGGAAACATGTATGAGAGGCTAGTCAGTAGGCTAGTATGCTCATGCAGTAGCTAAAATTAACCTAAAATTGTCCGCCCCCCCCTCAATTTATTTTGAAAATAAATAAGTCCCTAAAAATACCTGATGAAAGCTCATTGTGTTCTCATTCATAAGCTTAATTTCTGTTTGATGTATTATTTTCGTACAAAGTCTATTAAATAGTTACATCAATACACGTTTAAACATATTTTTATATATGCATTTATTTATTATATCATTCAGAGTCTATACCCTTTTTGTAGCCACCCCCGCCCCCCTTTACAAACTTATTATTTATTTGTGTTCTAACTCCAGAATTGCAGAATATTACTTGACACATAAAAAATGACCCCTACCCCTTAGTTGATTAAAACAATAATTGCTGATCACCTCAAAAGCATCACAGTCCCCGCATATCAATCCATAAAGTATAAATAATCCCTTAGTTCCAGTATAATTTACAATATATGTATGCCTTATTTTTTTAGCACAGGAAGTAAGAATTAATGGCATTCAAGATCGACATTCACAATCACATCTTGCCAGAGACCTGGCCAGATCTCAAAGAGGTAAGAGGATGATAGATTTTCTGTTGGCTATTGACCTCCTTTTCCCCTGACTCTACACTGCACTTCTCTCCCTTCTCTACTCATCTCTCTTCTATCCTCTCCACTCCTCTCTTTCCATTTCCTCCCCTTCTCTCCATGCACTCCCCTTCTTTCCTCTTTTCTCTCATCCAATTCCCTCCCAAAAAGAAAGCCAATAATCATTAATTATTAAATTATTTAAAAAAATTTTCCCCCAACCTTTACTGGTCATTCAAACTTTAATCTTTTTAATTCTCTATTGCTGTGTTTAAATTTTCTCCCATTTTCTTCTCATGATATATTTTTGAAAAATACCTGACTATTTTCATTTCCATTGATATATAGAAGTATGGCTATGAAGGATGGATTCAATTGCAAGGACACTGTAATGTAAGTGAATCAGTAATAGGTAAATTATGCAATTGTAAGTTGTGTCACTGCCAATATGGCACCCCAATATGCTGTTCATAGAGACCTTCACTATTTTAGTGACTCCTAAAATTTAAAAGCACATAGACTTTATTCGCTGTAGTGCGATGTTTCCCATAACAGACCATTGTGTCATTCCCTTTGAGAATAAGATTCTTTGTTTGAGTTGTATCCATATTCATGTACAACTGTTAAACAAAAAAGTTATACTCTTGAGAATAACATGTGATATGCAATGAGAATACCTTGCATCACCACAAATAAGATCTAATGCACTCTTAAATTAAATGCACTTAAATGCACTCTTTATTTACATTATGCATGTATATCATAAAACTGCTTCTGTATATTATTATAAATGTGTCTCTTAATGTAGCAGAATTTTTGTACAATTATAATTGATAAAGTTTGAATTTTTATTATTGCATATGTTAAGGGTAAAGCAAACATGATGAAAGATGGAAAACTGTTTAGAGTGATTGATGAAAACTGCTGGTCTCCAGAAGCTCGTTTAAAGGATATGGACAAAACAGGTGCATTATAAGTACTTCTTTGAATTACACACCTATATACACAGGGGCAGATAAGGGGGATCTATGCACAGTTCATTATAAGTACTTCTTTCAATTACACACCTATATACACAGGGGCAGATAAGGGGGGTCTCTGCACAGTTCCTTATAAGTACTTCTTTGAATTACACACCTATATACACAGGGGCAGATAAGGGGGGTCTCTGCAGAGTTTTTTTATAAGTACTTCTTTGAAATATATCATACATAAAAAAATCTGTAGATTGTGTGATGCTGCAAACTATATATCCATGAAATAGCACAAAAACTAAATAGCAACAAAGACATATATTTCTTTTGTTTTTGATTTTTTCTTTGGTACTATTTTGTACATGGATATACACTCTAATGTGTCAAACCAATCCATTTTGTATGTGATGTATCAAAATTTTTACATTCATCAGTGTTACAGTCAATATTGTATGCAATGACAAAGGAAAGACAAATAGTAATTTCCCTTTCCAAAGCAATATTGTATGCAAGATAGCATTGGGTCAGTCTCCATGCACCTTTAGGGTTGTAACGAAAAATGAATTAGACTAAACAACAAGCTAGGTAAGATATAAAGAGATCTACAGATGGATAGATGTAGATAGATATTGGATATCTAAGTGACAACCAATCCTTTTTAATCCAGTATTGAGACTAACTTACCTTTTTTATCCACAGGAGTGAGTGTGCAGGCCCTATCAACAGTTCCTGTCATGTTCAGCTATTGGGTAATGAAAAAAAGATATAAACTAAGTCTTAGAAGATGATTTCTGAATGGAGATGAATTCAAATTGGGGAGTCATGATGGATTGGTTGTAAAATGCTTGCCTTTAAATCCAAGACACCCCATGTGAGAGGGCCTGAGTTGGTTGGTTCTCTTTCTGACTCCAAGGGTTTTTCCAGGCCTCTGGTTTTTCCTCCCTCCTTCCAAATTAAGCCAAAAAAATTCAAATTAAACTGGTTAGAGCTGTGCTATATATGGAGGCACCTTCACATTCTTTCAGTTTGACCCTGTTGAACAGCACCACTAATGTACTTTGCGAAGGTGATAACTTAGCAATGACAAGTTTTTCTGAATTGTTCTGCATATAATTCAATGCTTGTGGTTTTCATTTAAGACTCTGTTCTTGGTTCTCCAGTGTGGGAGAGTTGGAGGAAGGGAAAGTTTGGCTATTCTTGTTCAAGAATTGTCATTCCTTATACTCATGCCAACATTGTTTTGTTTTAGGCTAAACCAAAAGACACTCTTGACTTGTGTCAAATACTTAATGATGATCTTGCCAAAACTGTAGCCAAACATCCTAAGAGATTTGTTGGACTTGGGACCTTACCAATGCAGGTTAGCAAGCTAATACTAGCAAATAATTTGAGCTTTTAGCTGGTACTTTCAATATGTTAGTAAAACAGAAAAATAATTGCCATAGTTAGATAGTGCACGTTAAAATCAGTAAAACTATGAAATTTGAAATAAATAAATTCAAGACTCACAAAGATATGAATTTTGAAAAGTGTGAATTTTGTAAGAAGATCTTCACTGGAGGCAAGTGATGTCTCCAGCAATTCTTCGTTTGCACGTTACGTCATCGCGGCCATGTTACCATTTAACAAAAGATTTCTCATTGGCATCCATTGTTAATGGTACCACAATGGCCACCATGTTTTTGTCTTTTAACTCTCTTGGGAATGCTTGCAACCCATCAATAGTTTTCTTCCAAAAATCATTCCTTCCCTCGAACTTCACAGTTTTTCTAATTTTAACATGTTCTTTCCAGCTATGGTTATTATTATTCTGTCCTATGACTTTTGGAATTACGCCTTACACGATAAAGGCTCTTTTCCACCATCTCAATTTCCACCGTTTGTTAAGTTGCCAAACGTGTTTGCCTCTGCGTCTTTTGCCCGCAACTTTCTTTGTAGAAAGAGACCCACTTCTGCAACATGATGTATCTGTCAACTAGAGTATCTACCACACCTAAAGTGGGTTGGATTTTCATAGGTTTTTTTACCGATTATTTACATCAAATGAACGTTATACTTGTTTACTTATCTTGTATTTGTGCTCCTTTGTTGCTAAAATATCGTTTTACTCCAAAGGTCAGAGGGTTTTTAAAATAACCGATTTGTACTTATTCCAACTGCTGCCGTTGCCAACTTTGATCTGTACAGTACGTACAAATARGTACGTGACCGTGCGAAGTCGCGGGTTCTGCACGACGGCGCTGGAGGACCCAAGGGAAATAAATCCTCTATGGTCAATTGAAGACTTATTTTTAACAATGGCGAAGCTTTTCAAAGAAATAAACGATTTTATTTGTTTGAGAAACAAAAACGTTTTAAAAACGCTCTAACAATTGAAATGTGGAAAAAAGTAGTATGAATAAAGACCAATTAACCCACTGCGATCAGAGGTTATGAGATATATTCGCCTCGTATTTACTTAGAGTGGATTTAGTCAAATTCTTGAATAGTTGACGTCACATATTGTCATGAGATGTCAAGCAATCTTGTCAATGTCATGTCATCTGAAATGGGCAATTTGCATACGACACTAAAAAGGTTTATCGACTTTCTCTTCACGCATTCTCTGGTAAAGTAAATCCCCTGATTTACATGATCGCTGGTTTGGCGCGTATTTACTTTTTTTTTTAAAGTGACATCAACTAAATAGTTATCTAAGTTAAATAAATTTATCTAACTGTTGGACTCTGCGTGATTGGCAGTATTACCTGAACAAACACCGCGGGGTGACGTTCTTCTTGGTATGTACAGAAGCAAGTAGAAACCCTTTGACTTTTGAAGTACATTTTAGCAGCAAAGGAACACAAATACAAAATACGTTAACGAGTATAACGTTAGTTTGATTTACTTTATGAGGGGGGGGGGTGGGGGGTGAAGGAGAACTATTCCTAGTGCACTTGTGTGCACACCGTTTTGCATGATTGGTGACAATTAAACAAATTGTCAGTGCCGTAGTACCGATCTTACTTCTGCGCTTGGTAACAGTAGTTTTTTTTTTTTTCACCTTTTTTCATCCAGCATATATAAGAATGTGGAAATACTTTATGATGATTGTTTTCGATTTTTATGATACACAGGCACCTGACTTAGCTGTAAAAGAACTTAGACGATGTGTACAGGTGAGACCACTAATCATGACGTTGGAGTCTTGGGCTCGGAAGGGTGGGGAAGGTTGGAGAAGGTTACGGAACTGCTTTCTGTAGTAGTAGTTTCCAAACAGGTTGCTGTAACGAGACATAATTTCCAGGCTCGCATGGAATTTTTATCAACCAAATACCAAGTTTCTATTAGAAAACTACTTAGATGATTGGACAAGGGAGAAGCGTTTGCCCCTCATTCTAGGCTGAAGGAGCATATGCGGTTTTAGTCTGCGATCTTCCGCTCGGTGCTCTGTGGTGTTGCGCAGACCACCGAGGGTACCGCAGATAACCGAGGACCGCAGGCAATTGGGCTTTTGGATCAACTCGCAAAAAGCAGGTCTCTGTCCACTATGAGAAACGTACCGGGATCTCATTCTCTGAGTTATTCACTTTTTAATATATGCCTATGGAGCTAAAATATTACATCATGGATGCTTACTGGTGCTCGGTGTTTCTAATAGTTCCCTACACAACCGCTATTAGTGTCGGCAAGTAGCGTTGCGTTTTATGTTTTATGGATGAATTTTTGTTTAACCATGTTGAAGTTGCAACTAGGATGTATCATAACTAATCCAATTTCGTTTTTACTGGCTTAAATTAATTTGCATTAAAAACACAGACGTTTCTCAGTGTGAAGAAAAACGTTTGCATGCGCAAAATTTGAAACAAGAGGGCTTTGCCAGACTTCATGATTGTTTGATGTTTTAATGGAAATTGAATGTGATCGTTTTCTGAGTTGTCATCTAGCTCCCAATAACCATGCTTAGTGCCAGAAATAACCACGGATAATTTACATAACAATGACATCCCATGATGTACCGCGTATGCATATATTGGCCCGCCATCGAGCCTTTGTGACAATTCCTCTTCGCATCCCGAGGAGGAAGTGCACGTCGCGACGACCTCCACCCATCCCTCCAGCGTGGCGCGACCATTTACACATGAATACATTTCTCTTTCCCCTCTCAGTGGACGCACACCTTTCCCCCCGTATTCATTAGTTATTGGTGTGTATTGTTGGCGCTTAGAATATAATACTATATATAATTAACCAATTGCAAATGTCGTTTAAAGGAACTTGGATTTCCCGGAGTGCAGATAGGTTCACACGTGAATGACTGGAACCTTGATGCTCCTGAGCTTCAGCCAGTTTTTGCTGTGAGTATGAATCTCTGTTGTAACTAAATGTATGAATGCACATGCATAGACAGGGTTCCCAGGGGTCAGGGAAAAGTCATGGAAAAACACAGTCAAAGAAAAGTCAGGGAATTTTGTTTAAAGTTAACCTTGAGTATCAATGTGATACTCATAATGTTTGAAATTTTCGAATAGACTGATAAATCAGTTTTCAAATAATGAAAAAAATTTTGAATCATTTATGCCAGACAGTTTAATTACGTTGGGTATCCTGTGTAATATGATAAGAGCGGGGCCTAGGTAAAAGTTAGGTATGTGGCCCATGCTTGCCCATGCGGCTCAACAAGGCCAGTGAAAACTGTTATTTAGTCAGGGAAAAGTCAGTGAATTTTCATTTTCAAAATGGCTGGGAACCCTGATAGAGCAGATATTCTTAGATTATCATCCTGTTACCTATCCACCTGCACCTCATGGCACATGGGACCTTTGGTTTCTGTAATAAACTTTTTTTATGGGAGCGGGTTATCAGCCCTAAGCCCAACCCCCAACCTGGAGGACCAGTGTGGGATCATTCTTCCTCTGGTCACTATCCTTCGACCTGTCCGGCATGGATGGCCTTACCAGGAGTACACGACTCCCGTCGGCATTGCTCTAGGTCCGTTACTGATTACTTGAGTAGAGATGGATAGACTCGCATTTTTTTTTTCCATCTCAAGCCTCTTTAGAATAAGATTTTTTGATTGAGATGCATTCGTAACATAAGTAACCGAACATAAGAGTTGCCCAATAATCAAGGACATTACATGGCCTTAAAATGGGAGAACATCGCGCTTAAAGTAAAAATGTCTGTTTATGTGTATTCCAGGAGACAGAAAAGCTTGGCGCTGCTATATTTGTTCATCCCTGGGACATGGAACTTACTGGAAGGATGTCAAAATACTGGCTTCCATGGCTTGTTGGTTAGTATTACTTAACAAAGCTTCTCCATTACATGATGTGTTCACAATCGTAAGGTGGTGCCTTGTGGTCGCTTAGTAATGGTACATCAAAAGTGGTAGGTCGCGTCTATGCTGGCCGTTTACCAAGAGGTGGTATAATAGGCGGTTGGTCTTCTATCTTTTATTGATTCCATGGGTTTGGAGCTCGTCGAAGACCTCCCTTCAGTTACCCTCCTCTCCTTGACAATCCTTGACAATCCTCAGAGTTTCCCATCCTCGGAAACCCAGGGGTAAAATTCTACCGCTCGTTTCTTGCTCCCAAAAAAATACCCCTGCGCACGAAGTGTGTTAGAGCTTGTTCGGGAAGTCGAAATTAATCTCTTTTCTGATTGGTCGACCAGTCTAACAGATTTCGTGCCCTGGAGTATTCTTTCTGGGAGCGAGGGACGCACACAGAAATTTACCCCTGGGTTCCCGTGAGTTTCCTTGTATCAATGTTAACTAGAATGTACTGTGTGTCATTTACCTTAGGTATGCCTGGAGAAACAGCCCTGGCCGTCTGTAGCATGATATTCGGTGGTGTGTTGGAGAGATATCCCAAACTGAGGGTGTGTTTTGCGCACGGTGGTGGAGCGTTCCCTTACACCATAGGAAGAATTGAGCATGGATTTAACGTTAGACCAGATCTTTGTGCTGTACAGAATTCGGTTAATCCAAGGTAAGGCACCCTATATCCATTCGCATTTTTTTATTTATTTTGTTTTTGTTTTTGTTTTGTTTTGTTTTGTTTTCGCTTTTTTTGTTTTTCGTTTTTTTGTTCACTTAAGTCTATCTATTCTCTCCGTGAAAGACTATCTGTGCTAACGTAAATAATGCGACCATAGGGGAATAATATGTGGGTAAAAAGCGCGTCGTACTCAATACTTGCTTGATTTTCTTTTTGGCTTGCATTATTTAGTACACTTTCTTATACTCTAGCTAACCCACTACGATAAAACGACACTATCAAAGGTTTTTCAATCCAGGGGACAGCAGCAAGTCAGAAATTTTGATCATTTGACTTAAACAAAATTCATATTTTCAAAATTTTATTTTTGTCTAGCACTTTTATCGAAATTGAGCTCGCTGTGGTTGTGTCCTCCAAGAAAGCGCGATATTCCCCATGCTACAAAGGGTCTCAATATTGGACCTAGTGAAATCCTGGCCGGAATCCATTAGTGTTCATAAGGAAGTTGTTTTATTCTCTGCTCATCTTCAGGGATTATATAGGACGTATCTTCACGGATTCTTTGGTTCACGACGAGAAAGCACTTCACTATTTGGTGAATACCATAGGCAAGGTGAGATAGCGAATCGTTTGGTCTGTACCGACATGGACATTTCTCTCATATTTTCGATATTTTGGGTTAATAATCAAATAATCAAAAAGAAGCATGGTTGCTTTCTAATGTTCCTACGGTATTCTACAGCATGACCGCCGTGAACTCACTCTATTCTTGCTTATTTTGGTTGGACGTGATAGGAATCAGTGTCGCGACACATTTATTTTGGTTTTTCCTCACGACTCTAATGAACAATGTATCGTATTTCTTTGTCTTTCAGGATAACGTCGTACTTGGAAGTGATTATCCGTTCCCTCTCGGGGAGTCATGTCCCGGCAAACTGATAGAAGCTGTTTATAGCCATGACTCGGAACTAAAGGTAGGCAATCACCATAAATTACCTCATTCGAGGCTTTAGACCAATCCCCCATCCTCTTCCGCCCCTCATCGAAAACTTAAAATCACGTGAACCAAACTATGTGTACATCCTAAATCGTGCTTTCTGATTGGCTTCAATACTGTTTTTCTATCATCCAATATCTAGCCCTCCAAGGTCCCAGGAGAACCTACATAGCTCTCGGTTGATGTAATGTGTTCAGTAAGTATTTGTATGAAACATTACATCAATTGCTTGCTACGTAAGCTCTCCCAATATTCAAGAGGTTTTTTTTGGCTCAGCGCAGCCTTGGCTTAGCGTAGTGGAAGTGGATTTCGTCTCTCGCTTCTGGGGTCTCGGGTGCACGTGCACATGTTGAGTGAAGTTTGTTAGGTCTCGGGCTCCCTTGATTCAAGGGTTTTTTCTGGGTCTTTCTTGGTGAAGCAAGCTTTGTATTTTGGGTCAAGGTCTTTGTTTTGCAGGGTCCAAATTCGTTATCCTTGGCTATTGATTTGTCTTCATGCCTCTAGTTTCTTGCAACACCAAGAAAGAGTCGTTTTTCTCCGGGCCCTCCCTCCGCAAAACCTAACAACCCAAATTCACATTCGATCTGCGAGTTCGCGTTACTTTGGTCAGCCCAGAGGTTGTTTTTTCACGGCCGGACATCTTAAATTTATAAAGGTTTTTTTTTACTTCGACGAAATTAGATCTCTTTCCGACTCATAAGCTACGATTTTTAAATGATATAGCACAATGCAATAGCACGTTGCCCAATGACCCGTTTCTTTCAATCCCTTTTTGTTAAACCATTCTAAGTAGCCCTGCGTATGTCATTCTTTTCAGGAGAAACTCCTTTCTGGCAACGCACTGCGGTTTCTTGGTCTCGACAGCAGCCGGTTTAGTGATATAAAACCAAAGGGGACGACTTAAAAGGCCCTAAACATGGAGATAAAGAAAGAACTGCGCAACGTTTTAGATGAAGAGGAAAGACTAAAGTAAAAAAAAAATTTTTTTTTAATGGATTTTACGCAGCAACAAAGTTGGCTCGAAAAAATATCTTACTCTTTTTGTTTAAACGAAGGCTTTTATTCTAATAAGGATAAACTGGCTGCGCCTCATGAAGGTCCATGTAGTCCCGCGTAAACATCGGTCATCACATACCAAAAGATAGTTATATTTTATATCGTAAATCTTATTTACTCACCATTTTAGAGCTGTTCACGTAGTATAAAGTCGCTCAGCGAGATTTTAATTTTTGTATGTGCCGTGTATAGTATTTTTAAGTACCAGCCCAAACATGGAACCCAAGGAAAAATAATAGAATACGTACAATATACTTTGTAACGTAAGTAATTCGTACTTTTTACGGGTTCATATTGTTTGCTCTCAAGGAGAAGGAAATACACCTAATTGAAAAAACGTCGGGTTCAAAAAAAGGTTATATCATCAAAACTAAGACCGAAGGGGAGCATTGGAAGACAAACAATTATGCTAATTTCATGCGTATTGCAGTTTTCCCTTCCTGTGCACATTTTATGCATCATGGCTTTGGCATGTTGTTAATCTAGGTCAACCGACTTTGCTCTACTGTGCATTTTTACATGTCTATATGCAATACGTACAATACACATTTCGGAGTACCCAAAATCCTTTTCGGTCTTAGCTTCGATGATATGACCTTCTCGAACCCGACGTTTTTTCAATTAGGTGTATATAAATATAGATATATGTATGTATATTAAAAGTTAATAGAATAAAAGAAAATGTTTGACAACAAATTCACATTAGTGTTGGCAAAATGCAGTGTCTTTATTGTTGAAAGCTAGGCTATATATCAAACTTTATTAGACTAATGATCCTACTTTTGGCTTAATTTGTATTGTTTTTATTTACTTTTTATTTATGATTTCAAAACTTTTAACCGTCTTGAATCAACGAGAAAGCAGCATGGCAATTTCAAAAGTGCACTCTTTTTATATGACAGCACATGGCGGTTAGTGTTTGATCACACCATTAAATATTTGGAGCAAATAATGAGATTCAATGACTTTTATCAGCTGCCAGGTTGAAATCCACCAATATTATGTTATTTATAGCTCTCGCTTGACAAAATGATGTCTGCAACTTCAAACTAAGAAAATGCTGGGGTTTTTTTTGCTAAAAATATATATCAATAGCTATACACCAAATCGAAGTATGGCTACCCATTTGGATAACTATTGTTCTGAGATGACTAGCCTCTCATACTATTATGTTTACACTTGAACTCGAGGCTAGTCAGGCCAGAACAATAGCTAGACAAATTGATCGCCATATGTCGATTCGGTGTACTGTGAGAGATACTCTTTCATTATAAGAACTTTGCTGTTTGAAACCTGCTCACCGATTCAAGACCGTGAAAGATTTTATGAAAACCTACTTCAAACAGAATACATTTAATCATGAAATTTGGTGTGAAACGCACTTTAAATCATTTTTGTTTTAGTTTAGGCAAAAAAATTCAAAATAGGAAAATGAAGACTATTTTCTTTCGCATTTTTTCTTTTCTTGTTCTTCTTTCATCATTTGTTTCGTTTTGTCTTGTCTTGTCTTGTCTTAGTATGTCACGTCAGAATTCCTTCAGGTATCGGTTTGGTTCCACCTCATCTTATTGTGGCTAATTCTTCACACAGCCCTTACTGTTATCACACGTGAATCCCTGTGGGCAGCAATGATGGCCATCTGCACAGCATGAGGCATTTGGAAGTGGGCAGCAATGTTGTTCTCCTTCGCTTCCTACACAGCAGGTTTGGTACAAGCCACAATGACAACCACCTCGAAGCCGTTTTGGGAAAAACCTAATGACATCATCAGTAATGGTAGGTGTTTTAGGGACAGAAACAGGAAGGGCCTTAATGTTCGCAGCAGTATTCTTAGAAAACCTTTTGCTTAGCATCGGAATGACACTATTCCCTCGAACACATTTTTGCTTTTTGGCATCACAGTTGAAGCCGGAGGGACAACAGTGCTTTTTGTCTGGACAGCACACAGCCGAAGGCAATGGACAACAGGCGTACTTCCCGGATCCACTCTCGCAACAAGTCTCGCCGCTGTTGCATGTAGAACCGTCCGGACAATCAACACCGTCTACAGGCGAATGTCTTGAGGATGCTCTCTGCGGAATCATGGGGACTGTTTTGGCAGTAGCATAACAAGTATGTGAAGATGTATCACAGATGTATCCGCATGGGCAACAGTGTTCGTGATCAGAACAACAAACAGCGTTCGGTAATGGACAGCAGCCGTATCCTCCAGTGGAAATCAGACAGCACGTCTTGTGATCTAGGCACTGAGAACCGTCTGGGCAGTCGATATTTTTTACTCCAGATTTCTTCTTCAACTCTGTACAAATGAAACCCAGAACTGATTTTTCAAAAATCGTTACTGACCGATCAAATATCGTCCTAAGACGAAGCATACCCCATGAAACAAACCTGTGAACCTGTCAATATTGCTTTTCGCACAGTTCTTGAATTTTTAAATCTCACAATCATCAGTTAAAAGACAGTAAAATCCATAAAACTCCGGTAATAAGCACTCCCTCGGTTATAATATAAGCCCACTAGTTTGCTAAAGAAAATTCCCCTTCACTTATTAGCCCCCCCCCCCCTCTCCCCTTGGGTTATTAGGCCCACCTCTAGTATAATTCCCCCACCCCCCACCCCCTTCAAATCATAAGCCCATCAAAACCCTCACGAAATAGTATCAGCCTGTGAAGAGCCAGTAGGAATTCTACAGTAATAATTTCCCGATCGAAATATATACTTAACAAATAAAACAGCTTTTTACGTGCTCCGTTCAGTACGCATCTTGAAGGCTTAGGGCGCTTCCTAAGCGCTTTATTACTAAGTAGAGCATACAGCATGGAAAAAGCTCTTTTATTCGTTTTATTTTATAGCTTCTAAAAAAATATCTGAATTGAGTTTATTTACGCGAAAAGAAACACCATCACAGGATCTGGCAGAAATTCGCGCAAGAATTGCATCAGCTAATTGGTTTTCGGCTAATTATTGCGCGCGTACAATATGACAATAACATATCAATGGACAATCACCAACACTAACCTGTGACTTTATTTGAAGACTCTTTCTTCAAAAATGGAATAGATGAATCCCCTCTGTTGCACGCTCCGCTTGATACATCACATGTATATCCATTGGGACAACAATGAATGTGGTCACTACAACAAACGGCTTTTGGTAGTGGACAACATCCCCATTCACCAGATGCTAGTTTGCAGCATGTGTTACCATCAGGGCATTCAGCTGAGCCGCCAGGACAG